ATACCCTACATACTCGATTTACTTTTTACAAGGTTTTATTATTAATATTTTATTATTTATTATTTTTAAGTAAGTAAAGTAATTTTTAAATTCTGGATTTACTTTTCCTTATGTTGTTTTCGTTACCTTATATTAACAATATTCCTAATGTCTCTACATATTAAATGCCATATGCAAACAATTCTTAGAGTCTATTTAAGAGTACATTTGAGGAGTCTTAAAATAGATCAAACAAATAGATAAACATAGATCAAGCTAGTGCGTATATGGAAGTACAGATCTAGAATGCCTGAAAATACTTTTCTTTCTCAAAAATAAACTTCGAAATTATTTCAAGTGCAAAAAATTGTACAACGTTACTCTTCTTGTTATCTTAAGGTCTTTAACATATGGAAATTTATGTATTATGGTCATTACACTGCACACAATACACTATTACTATATAATCTATTATTTTTGCTTTTAAGTTAACCGTAATCATGTAAAATGTTGGTCATTAAATTTGAAAGATACATCAATGATCCTTTAGTATCTATTAATTCCTTAAAAGCTTTCCAAACTGATGCAGTTTGTTGATAAACAAATGTTAAGTTAATTTACAACATTGAGGTATCAAATTTCCCAGACAATATCTCTGGCTTATGCTCTTCTATTTTTATTTAGCTTATGCCAAAAATAAAAATTGCTGTCATGTTGTCAATTGAATTGGAGCGTCGATTTCAATTTCTAGACCGTTGGCAGACGTCCCTCGACCTCGGTCTTCCGCTGTCTGCTCTGCTCTAATTTAATTGCAGTGCAATGTCTGCATGTATCTATAGATATTGTATCTGTGCAGGCACTAAATGTATCTGTATGTGCGTATATACATTTTTGCCGATCTAGTAGTCCGTCAGAGGAAGTTTAAAGCCGATAAGCCCCCCGTCCGAATGCCAAAGTGCACTTAACCCAATTAGCTGCACAAAAGGCGATAAAATAATTGCATTTAATTAAGTTTCAATCAGCGGGACGACAAATGGCCAACTAATCGTCAAGTTTTGAATTAGCCTGCCCATGGCCAACGGCGATGTGCTTTATAAATATATACAAAGTATATAGTCTGCTTCAATTTCCTCTTTTATCAGCATCGTGGAAAATCAGTTCTGCTTTTGCTTTCTAATGACTTGCGTTTCAATGAAAGTTCAATTAGTGTGTGCACAGAGCGAAAGTCTCTGCAATACAATATATAAAGAAGGCACATAGAATAAAAAAGAAAAAACGGAGAGGGACCAGAGAAGCGTGAAGGAAAAGTAAATATATTTGGTCTCACTTAAGGGCTTTGTCCTCTTCCCTTGGTCATCTGGATTTCCCTTCCGTTTTCTCCGCATTTTTTTTTTAGAGCTCGTTTCCTCGTCCGCCCAATCAACATAAGCGGATTCTTTTCGGTCCTCATTAACATTTATTTGGCCTTGTGGCATCCCCACCAAAAGAAATAAAAAAAGGATCTGTCCCCCATCCGCACAAGTTCAATCCGAGTTTTATTGAATTCATTAAAAGCGCAGCACACTTTCCCTTTGATTTTTATTTAATTTTTTTCCTTTGGTTTATTTTCGGTTGTTACGTTTTTTTTTTGCATATTTATTTTTGGCTTTGCCCCGACACTTAAACAATTAAAATAGGATTGTGATTGTGAGTCCTGTTCCCGATCTGCGCCCATGGCACACATTGCAATTTCGTTGCCGAGCAGCAAACAAACACAAAACAGAAAAAATGCAGACTGTGTGGCATGAATGTATTTAAAAATGTAGCCATCTCTTGTCCGTCTGTCCGTCTGTTTGTCCGTCTGTCTCTCGTTCCAATGCCATGTCATGTGTGTGTGTGTGTGTGCAGATTTGGTTTGCAGATTGTATTTTTTTAAATTGGTTTATCCGTTGTTATTGTTCACATTTGTTTTTTCATTTTTGTATTTCATTTTCCCTCTTGGGGTTTTTAGCTGCACAAATGGGACAATTTTTTTGGTTTTATTCTGCCAGACTGTAAGTTGTATGAAAATTGTCACACGAGGCGTATGGGTGATATGCAAATGAATTTTTAATCGAGGTTAGAGAGAGCCATTACACAGGTAAACGCAATAATTGCTTTGTGATGCATTTAGTTAAGAAATACAGAGGGTCCTTCGCTTGAGCAGGAAAATGGAGTGGTTTTTACTTCCTTTTCTAGTAGAGGAGCTTAAATTTTCCTTTTGTTTTTATGGCTTTTCTAGAACAAAGACAAAGGAATGTGCTTTACGGTCTAGCTGAAAGAATTATTAACAGAGAATGTTCGATAAGAATAATGGCTTTTGTTAAAAATGTCTTTGTGTAATATATAACCCATTAGTTTTGTGTACATTTTCTTTGAATTATAGTTGTAAAAAATAACGCTCTTCCTTTCCACAAGTTCAAACAAGTTTTTAAATGTAATAAATTTAATGAGTTGATATTTTCCATTGCTGTTTGTAGAAAAAGTGCCATCAATTGCCGATGTTAATCAAATTTAATTAAAGTGAAAACAAAGTCAACGCATAAAGAGATTACAATAAACTCGGCTTGTGGACAAAAAAAAAAAAAAAAAAAACAGTAAGAGCAGGGAAAAAATTTATAATGACATAAAATGAGCGGTTAAACAAATTGAAAAATGATTGAAATTTACCATAATTGGTGGATAACTTTCAAGTGCTTCAGTCTCTGTCCTCTCAACATTATATTAACCACTAGTTTTTAATACTCTTAACAGTTGGAATTTATTGATGAACCATTTACATGACATGTTATTGTTACATGTTTTTTTTTTATATTTTGTTTTTACCTTTTAAAAATCATCTTTCTTTGTGTGGCCATGCAAATCAATTGTGGCATGCTGAGAGAAGAGCGATAAAGCCATTTGCATGGCAGAAGTTTTTCTTTCTTTTTACTTTTTTGTTTGTGCGCACTTAAATTTTAATTAATGAATTTGTTATCGTTTATCGTCATGGTGACAGCAATTGTTGCCATTTCCCCGCATTGCTCATATCAGTCTCTCCCCCCTCTCTCTCCATCAAATCTATCTAATTGTTGTTATTCCTGCAGGTTGATGTTGCCTTTTGTTGCTTCACTTTTGTCGCATCAAAGTCACTTGTTCGCCACCAACTATTGTCTGTCAAAAATTTGACAAGTCACGCGAAATGAAAGAGATGTTTCCAGAGCACTTGGAATTTACATACACACTTGTATATGGGTTAATACACACCTGAGTGCAGGTGGGCTAATGGTTTTCGTTCAGTAATAAAAGGTACTGTGATGGCCATGCCAAAGTTGACAAAGGGTAATTGAGGCCTTCGGGCGGAGTTTTGAGGATTATGAAAATTGCACTTAATGGGTGGGTGTAGTTTAAGTCATTGTGGGTTATAGTCGGATATTATCTAATGGAATAGAGTTCAGATAAATATTAATAATATTCAGAGAAAAGAGATTTAAAAGTGTATACAATTTAAGGGTAGAAGTTCGTATATTGAGTAAGAAAAAATTATACTAATAATTCATTTGAAAGGTTTAGATATGGTATGTGTCTTTATAATATAATAATTCATTTATTTTATCTGCTTAAAATTCAACAAATATATTATACATATTTAATTATATATATCCCTTTTAAACTCTAAGCATTTAAACCATTTTAAAACTCTCTTTTAAACAAATTAGTATCCCCTAATTACAGTCGCCTCTTTGGGGTGCAAATGTCGCATGTCAAGGGTCATTTGTACTGAGGTAATTTTACTCAAAAAACAGCCTCTTAAGGCTCCTCGCTTATGGACCTTCTTATTAGTTTTATGGCGTTTTAATGGTTTAATTAAACAATCAACCAGGCGGACCGCGATAGTTCAATTATGTAAGCAGTTTGCCAAGATGCCAACAATTAAAAGTTCATTAGACCGGCCGAGGGCACCACAACCGAAGGGGAGAGGGGAGAGGGGAGAGAGGAGGCTGTGGAAAGCCGAGAAAAGCTGTATAATCAGCTGAAGTTGTTTTTGCCTTTGGAGGCAACAAAGAATCTAATTGTACATCAAGTGCAAGTGCAATTGTACAAGTGGGTTAAGCAGGGTAAGGGAGGGGGAGAACGGAGGTAAGGCATTTCTGCATCAATGAATCGGGCAGAACCCACAAACAAATACTCACACAGCACTGGGCGATACTTGTAAACTAATTCAATTAACGTCTAAGCCGCTTAACATCATCAAGTGACCCAGTCTGCCCGGTTCTCACAACCCAAAGCCCCTCTCAAAAGTCCCCATACACCAGGAAAAACACTAAGTCTGTATAGCTAAATAGTGGGTTTAAAAAAGAATCTATTATTTAACTCTAAAATAACAAATTAATTGTTTAAATGATTATCAATATTTTAGAGAGAGGTAAATATTCTGGCTTGAGGTCATATCTTTATCCATTTGAAGGAAAGATTTGTAATACCTTTCTTCCTAATAAATACCAAAAACCTTCTCACACATTTTTAGTTTCTTTTAAATTTCCATATTTTTTCTTATACATTTTCACTCACAATATATTTTGTTCACTGTAAAAATCCGCTTGAAAGAGTGACCCACAACTGGTTGAAATTAATATTATCTAAATTAGCGCGGCGCACGCAACGAGGAATGCACTTTAAATTAAGTTTCTCTGCTAAATATTGTGCAACTGCCGATGCAAACCGGTTTCCTGAATGCTAAATGAAAACATTAAAAACGAAAAATAAACCCAGACTCAATCTTCAGCTCAATATTTCCAGGCTGTCTTTGTCAGTTTGTTGTCACATCAAGTGCAATGAACGGGTTTTTTTGCGGTTTCTCCGCCGCCCCATTGTGGGCGGAAGTGAAGACAAGCAAAAAGCTGAAAACAAAAACAAAAAAAAAAACGAAAAACAAACCCAAAAAGTGGGTTAAGCAGTTAATCAAAAAACCGCCTGGCATTTGCATATTAATCAAGTTTACAATTTCCCCGTTCTCTTTCCAGACAATTCCCAGAAGAGACATTGGCCTTAAAGGTGAGTACAGGAAAGGCAACGTGACTGCTGGGAGTTTTTGGCTTGTTTTTGATTTCCAACCCAACCTCTTATCAAAACTCAAAAACCACAAACACTCGAAATAATGTAGCATTATTTACGCCAGAATTTCACACAATCCGTATCATCAACAACCCCTTGATAATTGGCCAGAAAGTCTAGTTAAGGCCTGGTCATGTGCACGACGGGGCTCTAATAAAAAATAATTTGTTAACATCCCCCCAGAAACTATGTATTTGTCGGGTTCATGGCTTTAACTGTGTGTCAGTTGGGGCTTTGGCATGTCACATGCGGCTAAAAAACACATCACAGATATTCCCTCTTTTGCTAGCCCATTACAAAAGCAATAAAAACCTGTAAAAACACACATCCTAACAAAAAACAATAAATAAAAAAGTAAACCTATTTGTTGGCACATGCAAATGTAAACGCCTTTGCTAAATATTGATCAAAGCTTGCCTGTTGCGATGAATAAAATTCAAATGAAAATAAAACGCAATATGTGCAAATTGTGTAAATTAACAACAGCACAAATTGTGAAGTATCTAACAATTAATAAAGTAAAGTTTATTTATAGCTAATGTTAAATTAAGCCTTTTGAAGGCTAAACAAGGTACAGGGTTCTTCAAGATCAATATCTTAAGTTCTGAAAGTGAAATTTGTAGTATAAAAACCCTAATTTAAATCTTTACTTTTGAATGTCATTCATTAATTACTTTCGCACATGGCTTTATAACTACCATAAATAATATTTCATGGTCTGTTGGTAAAAAATTAAAAATACTAACAAAAATATTGCTACACTCAAAAATTTTACTTTCAACTTCCCTGAAATCGTGCTTGACTGTAACACTCACCAAAAAGATTCATTAACAAATTCCCTAATTTGAGAGCAAATAAATTTACCTTTACTTAGCACATTTGCCTACATTTCTGTGGCTGTTTTTGTCAATTGGCCAATGTTTGTTTATATATTAAAATATACAAATAAAAAATAAAGTATACGCCCTGTGGCACAATAATACTATCCTAAATTGGGTTAAAATTTGACGAATATCGTATATGTGGATCATGCATAATCAATGACAACATTTGTGCCAACAAGAGCCGCAAATAAACATTGTTGAATTTGCTGTCTCTGTTTGCCTTTGCATATTTTATCAGTGGAGGGGAGGGGAGGGGAGGGAGGCCAAGAGCTAAGTAAATGTTTGCAAATGGCTCACAGCTAACCGGATACTGGGCCAGCTCTGGGGGGCACTCTGGATCTTTGTTATCTAATCCATCCAAATGCACATGAGGCCCAGTCCCGAGCACTTCAAAGGATGATTCTTTCCAGCGAATTCGTGTGGTACACTCTCAATAAGCCTAATATATAATCTGGTTGAGATAAGGCGATTGTTACCCTCTTACTTTATTTCCACGCTCATAATTGTCGGATATATCAATCAAGCGATATGTTTACACGTGCGCTGAGCTATCAGCTTATCAGACTAAAAAAAACCCCAATTAATGCCACAAATGAACAAAGTAAATGATGAAATAAAATAAAATCTATTGCATTTAAATGCGATCCAATTAATTAAGGCTCTCTCTTTAACTGGCTGATGCAAATACAAATGTAAACAATTTGGAATTATTCAATGGTGGAATGAATAAACATTTGCACATACTATTATTTGCACATTCGAAATGGTTGCCATGGTGCCATGGTGGCGTATACGCAATATTGACGCAAATGTAAATAGGTAAAAATGTATTTTTGATTTCGAGAGGTCAAAATTGCATCTGAGAGCTATAAATGTTGGTAATTATTATTATGCACAAACCCTTTTTGGAGACACTTTTGGTCGGTGGCAGGGGGGAAGGGGGAAGAGATGCCAGAAAGGAAGTTGGCAATTATGAGCATACAATAGAGTTTTTGGCAACATTTGCCATGTGCCATTGTCCAGCCAACAAACTGATTTATGCATGCCATTGTACACTCTCATTATTGTTGTTATTTACCCAGCATCAGCAGCGGGGTGGGGGAGTGGGTGGATTTTGCATTACCGGAATTCAAAATGAAATTCTCAGGGGTGCTTACCAGTTTATTCAAATTTCAAATGCCAAAACCTTTGCCACAATTGACACGCTTTTGGCCGTGTGTGCGTGTGTGTATATATGTTTGCTATCTCATACGCACACACACACACACATATTTGGCAAATATTTTCCCACCCGAAAGTTACCCCTACCCCTCGGAAAAACCCGCCCTAAATTGAGTGGAGCCAGGAAACTTTTAGCGTTTGCCGAAAATTGAAAACGTGTGCAAGAAAACTAATTTGATGAGCAAATATCGTCCTGCTAGGGCAAAACTTTGCTTGTAGTAAAATCGTTACTTATTTTTTGTTATTTTTTTTTTCTGTACTATCAACCAGTTTAATATTATAAAAGATATTTGTTTTCACTCTGGCTGTGCACTGATTTTGGGTGGAATATGTGTGTGTGTTTGCATCCTGGCAAAAATTTTGATTGCCCGAGAAAGATTTTTGAAATGAAGGTGGAGTAAATTAAAAAAGAACAAGATAGGAAGTGAATTTCAGGAACCGGAAGTTGGTATACCTTTCCATGTTAACCATAAAATCATGTGTTCGAAATCGATTATAACTAAGAGAAAGATGAATATATTAAGATAGATAGAATATAAATAGATAGAATATAAATAGATAGAATATACATAGATAGAAGTATATATCTTCAAGTATAGGGTGTAATTCTTGGTATCTTTAAGTAGACATTAGTATTATTAAAGTGATAATGCATTACATTGGGGTTAAAAGCTAATCACTATCACTACCACTTTCACTAACGATGTAAACAGGGCGGAGGCCGCGGACAGAATGAGGCCAGAGCTGCTGCCGCGCCTCTATTTATAGTTGCCGAGGCAAGAGAACAGAGAAAGTGAGAGGGAGAGCGCTAGAGATTAAGAGCTACCTTAGAGATGCACAGAGAGGGAGAGTAAGAGTACTCTAGAGATTAACAGAGAAAGAGAAAGCTAGAGAGCAGGCGATTCCTAGAGAAACACATGGCGTCGCATACTCTTAACTAAAATTTCTCTGCAAGTGAATACTTTGGCTCTGAGTTTATAATACTGATTTAAATTATAATTTAATTCTTGTAATTTATACAAGACATTATTTATATACATTACAAATTTATGTTTATAACAATATATATGTCACCTCATTAGCTGACTTCTGCACTGATTTTCGTCTCAATATGTTTTGTAAAAAGGGGAAATTATGCTGATTGCTTTGCGTGTAGATTCTGTTTATGCTAATGTTACGTGCAAATGCTATGCCAAAAATTAAAAACCCAGCCAAATTATGCAAATGAACTCTGTCCCTAAAGGTCAGCAGTAGCAGCAACAACAATGGCAAAACAACAACAGAGAACAACTGGGGAATACAAGGTAATTAAGCCATTTGCTTTGAGCCTCGACACTGCAATTAGCAGCGAGTTTTCTTCTTCTGGCCAAACCCCAGTCCGGCCTCTTTTCCTCCTCTCCCTCTCCCTCACCCCGCCACGAATTAAAATGAAGGTGTCAACGTATTTGGCCGGCTCAAATTTTCCCTCGCAAAATAAAATAACAAGACGACAAAAAAAAAACACAGAAAAAATCGTACAAAATGAACAGCAAAAAGCATTAAAACGGCTTCGGCTGGCAGGGGAAATATGCAAATTTTATGACTCGACATTGAAACGTGGCCATAATTGGGCCAAAAAGTCGGAGTCAAAGTTTGAGGTTAGAGCTTTTGTCTTTCGTAGCAGATTTGGCCTGTTCTTCTCTCTGTTTGTTACCAAAACCCAATTTTCCCTACTCCCCGCAGGAATCGCATAATTAGCTTTGCCACGTCGGTTGCATTTATTGTTTGGTCGTTGCCAAACTTTTGGCCAAAACCCCCCTTCTGGTCTTGGTTAATTTTTCGTTGAGGTTACGCCTTTTGTTGTCATTGGGTTTATGGGTCAGCAGGGGAAAAAGTTTATTGCTTTCGGTTTTCTAGAAGTATTTTGTAGTTAAGTTATGGCACGGATAACTCTTTTGTTTTTAATGCAATCAAAAATGGGTTTAGAAAAATCAGGAATCTTAATGAAAAGGTGAAAGAATTAAACAAAGAAAACTAAATAAAAAAAATTAAAATACTCTTGCTGTTCAGCAATGTTATTTCAAGGTAGGGATAAGGTTCTTAATTTAAATTTTGAAACGATTGGATTACTTCTCATGTTTTAAATACAAATATTTAAAAATCCTTTATACCTATCCCAAAGATAGATAAATCACAAATCGTTATAAATTCTCAAAATACCTGGAATGTCTTTTGTAAAATTGTTTCCAACGGATAACCTATCCTTATCCCAAACTTTGATTCATTCGGTAAATATTGCCCAAAATCGAAGATATTCCTTACGAATTTTCTCCTGTCAAAGGGAAATGTTGTGAAGCGAGAATTTCGGGTGATTTGCTGAATTTTTCATCGCCCCATGTCCTCTGGCACCTCTAGGCATTCCAATTATCTGTGAAATTGACTACAAAACGTTCCACTTGGCTCCACTGGCAGTTGTCCCTGGGAAGCAATTTGCGTTCCAAACACTCTTTACAAGTCGGGTTGTCTGAGTTTGTTTTCCTCCAACCTCCTACATATTCCTGTGTATGTATATATAACCTTTTAAATCTGCGTTGTCACTAGCCCCGGACACACACACACAAAGGGAAAAATACATAAACTGTCATAAAGTAGCAATAATAATCCTTGAGCCTATGTCGAGAGCGTTTTTACTGAATTTTTATTGACTCGACAAGCGGCGGTGGAGAGGAAGGACTCCGAGCCTGGCTGTCAGGCATTCAGACATCAAGGCATCCGGGCGGACCACTTCAGCTGGCGGGACAACAAGGACGAGAGCAGGAGCAGACAATGGCTTTGGGCCCAATAAAAACTCGTCAT